TGTGCGTGTGCGTGTGCGTGTGCGTGTGCGTGTGCGTGTGCGTGTGCGTGTGCGTGTGCGTGTGCGTGTGCGTGTGCGTGCGCGTGCGCGTGCGCGTGTGCGTGTGTGTGTGTGTGTGTAATTTGTAAAATAATTGTGTAAAATTTGCAAAAATGTAAAGAGATTCTCTATTCTCTGGTTTCAAAAAACCTTTATCGATTTGCGTTTCTCATCGAATACTACTGCTCGCGCTGGGTTAAAAGGAGTTGTAAACCGAAAGAGATTATCAGAAAAACACTCAGGAGTCGGATGCGGTGTAATCGGGATCGTCATTGCAGTGTGCGTTCGATATCGACAAAATCGCTCTCTTAATATAGTTATAAATATTAAATCGAACTATGGCTGCGTCCCATTTCGCGCTCACAACGCTTGTGAGCATCATTTGTCCTCGCTTAATATTTGATAAACAACAAGGATAAAATGTTTCCAAGAGTGTGAGCAAGCCTAAGACATAATTGAAAAGCACAAGCAATAGAAATACATATGTGATGTATCATTTTATTCTCATTTTTGACATTCGGTGAACAACATTATAAAGTTATAATGTTAAACGTTATAAAATAATACGATTATAACCCAGTTTTTCATTATCTGGTTAACTTGTAGTTTAGATTTAACCTCACTTAACTTGATGATAATGTAAAAATTGTTCTTTTTTCTAAGAGTGATTAATCATTAAACTATTTAATATTTTTGTAGTGGTAACTTTAAAAGTTATTCACAAAACCATCAATTTAGTGATTAACTATAAGTGGAAAAATACAATTTTTAATAATTATTATCAGGATATAATAATCACAAGAGTTAACCAGCTTTTATTTCTATTATCATTATTATTACTATTAAATGCACGAATATAAGGTGTTTGATCGCTTCCAAGATGTACAGTCGATAACTAATCGAAAAATTAATTCAAAATGTTATAAGTCAATATAGAACTGATATTAAAAATTTAACATGAGAAATTTGCTAAAATTAAATTCGACCATTATGCGTAATGAAACACTTGTATTCTTACGTCATGATTAAATGGCTCTCAGCTGAATCCCATGCGTTAAGTTGATACGATCAATAATAAATTGAAGGGAGTAAGGAAATCGTCGCAGAAGACAAAAGTTAACTAACAAATGAAAAAACCGGAGCCTATGCTCAGCGTGCGCTTTATGAAACGCAGTCTATAGGTTTGTTCGCGCGCAAGCTCCAACATGCTCCAACGTGCTCCTACTATGGTGACAGTGGCCCTAACTGATTTAATAAAGTCACTAGGACTGCGGTCCACTTGACGCTACAAACTGGACCGCGGCCTAGATCTATAAATTACCTAGATCTATAACTCGCATCCATTTTGTAGCAAAACGCGGCCATTTCGAATTTATGCATTTGTATCACGTGCTTTATTTGAAAATGAAGCCGTCAAATATATAAATCAATGTTTTTAGTTATAATTAATTTATTTATGAACAAAAGAATATGTACGAATGCTTAATTTATGTGTTCTTTACTTTAATACGGGTTTATTTGTTGTAGAAATTTAGTGCATGAAAGTGCACGAAGGAACATGTAAGTACAGTTTAAAAGATGAACCACCCAACCATCATGCTTGGAATCGTGTACTATGTGCACTTCGGTCATTTTATCGCAATTTCTGAAATTAATTGCGGTACTTTAGAAATCTAGTGACTTTAGTCCACAGTACTTCGATTCAGCGGTCGGTGCGTTTAATCGATGACGTAATTCGATCGGTGGCAGCGGACTGCGGAGGTAGCGCCGATGACGGCGTCTCGTCGACTTGTCGTCGTTCCCGCGCTTGACCCGACTTGTCAAGTCTGGTCAACTCTGCTTTGTTGTGTAATTCGAAACGGGAAAAGTTTGGAATACTTAAAAAAAAAAACACTTGTGAGAGTCTCTCGAAAATTATTCGAGAACTGTATATTTTCGTGAGCTCGCGTGTTAACATATCTCCTGAGTATCGATCGAGTTTTGTGAGCGAAACAATGGCAAATCGAAGCCGACCGAGTGACATCGATCGGATCTGCGAGGCGATACATGGCTTACAGAAATCCTTAGAGTGTACAATTTGGTAAGTCCGCATTCGCGACGTTGCGAACGCGAGTAGATCCATCGGTCTCGTATTCTTATACAACGCAATCAACTTGTTATTTTCGTGCCGTTTCGTACATAATGACTGGGACAGATATAGGTTAGGATCGTGCAGTGCAACAAGTGTCTACCTCGCAGCAATCATGAATCATACCGAAGCAGTTGACGATTTTCACAGATTCTACATGAAAGACATTTTAATAATACTCTGATTACCTTAATTTAATATCGAGCTTGTAGATTTTCTATCATCTAAATAAATCAAGTATATGTAAACTGTAAACAAAGATGTATCAAACATATTATAGATATAAGATTATGATACTATTTAAACAACATATCACGAATAACGAAGGAATTGAGAAAGTTTTCACTGATTTTATATGAGAGATATTATATTAATTAAGGATTATTAACTCGAAGAACTTTAAATAAGCATCAAACTCGCTTATACATTTTTTATCCAGAGAAATATATAGACAATGTGTTGCAAACCTAAGATTATAATACTATTTAAGCAATATTAGGTCTGTGATTTCATTGTGAAACTGAACTACTGTACATTAGTTGTACTTAAGATGAAATAGATATATAATATATTTGGGCAAAAATAAGATAATTTTAATGCAGTCTAGTGTAGCAACAAAGAATTGGCTCATATTATGAATCATAGCAAACTAATTGACAGGTTTATTCTATATGAGAGACTATATTAATTAAACTTTAAGTACTTCAATTAAGTATTAAGCTCGCTTATAGATTTTTTATCCTTTAAATGAGTCAGAGAAATATATAAACAAAGAAATGTGTTTCAAATATAAGATGATAATATTTAAATAATATTATGTTTATGACTTTTTCATTGTGACTAAACTAGCACTTATATATTATGGTTGTCCTTAAAATGAAATAAATATATATTTGAAATTTGGCGAAAATAATATAAACAATTTTAATCCAATCCAGTGCAGCGACAAAGAAACTTGAATTACAAAAAATATGTCAAACATAAGATTATATAATACTATTAAATAGTATTAAAAAATATTTATGGAATTAATTACATTCCAAGTGATCAATCATTTGTATAAATCAAAATTTGATTAATATTTTCAGAACAGTATTTATAACTAGTCATTTCATATTATTACAGTTTGGAGTTCCTGAGAGAACCTATGAAGACATGTAGGGAAGGTGTTACAAATAAAAGACGCTTCTTGTCCACTATGCAAGAAGAGTCTTAATAGACGCAACATTTCCAAGGATGATGATCTGCAAACTTATATCAATAAGTTCAAAAATCTTGTCACTGCCATCCAGAATGATACTAACATCGAATATACTGAACGTAAGTACATTGCAAATATTTTCACTTCCCTGAATTTACCGAGTTTCAATTTTATATCCGAATTAATGCGACATAAATCAATTTTAAATCTCTATCTGGATTATTATCGGTGAAATTACAATCAGAGGATAAGATATTAAATTGTAAAAAAACGTAGATAAGATGTAATTCCTCTGGGAAACGATTCTTGTACTACTAGAACGCTACGATATTGAGAATCATTACTGCGCGGATAATAATCGTAATTTCCGTGCTAACTATTGATCCGCGATCCGCTATTGTGTTATTCAACTGGAAACGGAAGTTAAAAGCACGGCGCAGTAGATGCCCTGTTGTAAAAGTACATTAAGTGAGGTCAGCACTACGTTCCTCGCCGTACGCGGAATGGTGGAGGCCTGAAAAATTTAATTCTCGATACTCTTGGGTGCCTCGATTCATGCTATACGTTTTAGAGAATGCTCAATGTTTTATGAGGCCCTGGAGTTTGGGTATCACGTACCTTCCCTACGTTATTCAGCTCCCTTGCGTTGAATATTCGAAATGTCCTTACTGTAGATTTCCTCTGGTCATATTTTTCATTTTTTATTATAACGTCACTCAGTTCATCATACATTAATCACATTTTGTTGATTTATGAAGATATGTTGTATGAAAACGAAAAAAACATATTTATATATATAAATGATTCGTAAATAATCATGTGAAACCAAACTATTTTTTATTTTATTTAAAAAATGAAATACATATCAAAATTTGTACGAGATTGGATACATTCAGACACATCATGTATTTAATTTTATCACGACTTGATTATACAATATATATATATTTTTATAGATATAGGTAAAAGATTAAAAACGTTTCTCTCGTGTTTTATGAAAACTGCGCTTCTCTGAATAATAATTTGTATCTTGCCGCGTGTTAATTCCATCGACGTACCGTAGACATTAATGTCATAGTATATTATGATCAAGATTACTTTATATTATCGGTTTTCCGTGCGATAATTGGATAAGATAATCATGTATATTTAAGATATGTTAAGATTACTCACATAAGTTTCTATCACAATTCTTAAAATTCTATTTTCTTGATATTTTTTAATTACATTTATTAAAATGCTTTATATTTTAGAATTAAAATGAATAGTGAATCAAATACAATCAATTTAAATCTATTATATCAGTTTTAAATTATGTGTAATTATTTTTTGAACGAATATGTTGATTAATGCGGGATATCAAACAATCATACTCAACTATTGTACGAGTAAGCTATAATAAATGCGATTGTAGCCAAGTTTTGCTTAGTCATATTATTAAATATAAGAATATATTTCTTACATTGAATAACAACATCAGCAAATAAATCGGTTTCGTTGATATCCGCGATAAAGCTTCAATAATTTGTTACAGTATTATCGCACTCGAAGAAGTCCTGCAATACGAAGGAAAGCTATTCTTATTCAGATTCTAGACAGCCTAACCAAGATTCTAACAAAGAAAAACGTTTTGAGAAAGAGAGGTCTAGTTGTCAATCGAATCAAAACGCGAATAGGCAAACCGACAAACCATCGACAAGCCGTGAAACAATGATTGATCGTGGTAATCCGCGATGCGGTTTAAACGTGTCAAACAAGAAGCCTGCAACTTTACCGAATCTCTACTCTGCTTTTCCTAGCGATGAGACTCATATCACATCGGATGCCAAAATTCGCACGTGGCTACACCAATTTCCCAATAATCTAAGTAAACCCGATAAATCGGATATCGAGGATTCGATCGCGGAAAACATAATATCACCGATCGAAGATAAAGCTAAGTCAATTATCCCAATATCCGACAACAATGGTAAATCTGACGAGATCGTCGAAGTACATCGCAACAGAATTAACGCAAGGCGCCGGTCAAATCGAGATAGAAAACAGAGTACGGATTGCTCAGAACGTATCGACGAAGTCCCAGATAACACGTCCCAGGTGAACAAAGGGGCGAACCAGATTGACAAAGTAATAGAGCTAAATTCCACTTCAAGCAAATTGAAATACAAGACGCTTCGCGCCAAAATACGTGCAAAGGAAAATCGTGAGAAGAATGCGAAGTCGAGTATTGAGGAGGCTAACAGTCAAAATAACTCGACGTGGATGACAACGTACGATCCAAATGCGACATCTCCGCCTTCGTGTCTGGGTACGAGGAGCACATCTACGATCAGCGAGCAATTCACCGCGAACTGGTCCTCTATGATCGAGTTTGAGAAAGAGATGAACCGCGGGAGCAAGAGAAAGGTAAAGAAACTGAACGTGAGCATCGAGAAAAATAAAACTCTACCTCAGATAATCGAGAACGTTGTACTCTCACAGAGTAGCAAATACGATTCGGCTAGACTTGCGGCAAGTCATAAAAAAAGCGAAAAAGAGACGAACATATCGCTAGAGTCGAGTGGTCGGAAACAGGATGCGATTGATAAGAACTTGAATTTATCAGACGCAAAAATGAAAGCGTTGATTGACACGAACAATCAGACGAAATTATTTGACAAAGATGGGGCCAACTCAAATCAATCGTATTCTATGAACACAACGTATGCCACATTGGAGGAAGGCAGCCAAACAGACATAATAAACCTAAATATCAATCAAATAAGCAAAATTATTGGCCTCGATAATGTCACGGAAGATCGAGATTGTGAAGAAAATGCCGCTGATTATAGTGATGCATTATCGTCGCAGCGAAAAAGATTAACCGCAGTAACGCCAGAGAAATTAAACGAATCTGTATATGAACAGGAAATAATTCATAACGTTCCGCAAACTTCTACCGACAACTTTGAAACTTTGTCCGACTGTTTGTCAGCCGAAAAACGAGCTCTCGGATCTCGAGAGACCAATAATGTTCAGGAGACATTGGGTGGAGCTGTATCTTCTCAATTACAATCATCAACACCAAAAAAGGGTAGGCTATCCTTGAAAAAAAGGAGGATTGATAATAAGAGCATTGAGTCGCCGCTTTTAAGCGAATATCCACAGTCATACAAACTTGCGATGGACATAGATTGTATCAGCGATCGTAAGAACATCAATTCGCCAGTGCCAAAAGGTGACAAGCTGTTTGATCGATTGAAAGTTGTGAGGCGTGACTTGAACTTCAAAATCCGCGAAATTCAACGAACCGACCAGAATACGATATCCGCCAATACATCAAAAGGCATAATCGAAGTCGAAGATAACAATGAAAATGTTTCCAAAATTTTTCATCGAGACAAAAAGTTCAATCATAATTTTACTGATGAGTCTACAATGTCGAAAAAGTATCTCTCGACCAAGTTGAAAAGTGTCGAGAATCAAGGACGTCAATCTCTCGTGAAATTTATGCAATTAGGTTCGTTAAATATTAGGAGATCAAACGTCAGATATTTTTTCGCAGGCACGACCAAACGCGAAATGTCGATGCCAGCAGAAGTTCGAGTTACCTCAGAGTGCAATATGCAATTAATCAGCAAATCCGAAATGTATGTAGCAACATCTCCTAATCTGTGGAATGATTCACAAAATTCGAATGACATCACCGTGGTGGAGAATATTTGTTTCGCGAATAATTTAAATTCGAATGAAACAGTTTCAAAAGAATTTCCCGCATTACAGATTTGTACAGCTTCAGCGACTTCGATGCCCCAAAAAAATACCGATTCTCATTTAAATCAAACGAAGAACGCAATGATTGTACACCCTTCAATGAACGCAAATCAACGATCGGATAAATCAATCGAGAACGTCGCTGAGAAAAACGCGCAATTTCTTCACAAACCGTCTTGCGTGGACAAGAACGCGATTCACAGGATGTCGCATATTCATCCAGGAACGTCAAAATCTATTAAACTGCTGTCACCGGATAAAGATTCGCAGTTGAAGTTTCTCGCGATAGACTCCCCAACGAGCGAGCGCGAGAAGTTGCGACGCGCGAACTCGATTAAGTCGATAATCAAAGGAAACAACTTTTCTGAAATGAAAAATTCATACCTCGAAACGTCAACGCTGTGCGAGGCACAGGAACCTTTCATCGAAAATCCCTGTAAAAAGAGAAAAAGAACGAGATACACCAATGACAGAAAGCTATTTGAAGACGGGTCCAGCGATGGAAACGATTCCAGCAACTCGGCTGCTGACAGCAATCAAAGTACGATAAAACTTGACAGATACAACGAATTATCTGAGAAAGCAAGCTCGAGTCGTTTGGACGAACATAAAAAACGTCGTTTGAGTTCCTCGGACGACCAGGATGTCGAGATAACCTCGTCGGTTTCTAAAAAACAGGATGCGCTCAGAAGAAAATTCAAGATTTCTAGCTCAGAATCGGAATCGGAGACGTACATTACGAAAAATTTGAAAAGGTATTAATGAAAATTTATATAATTTTTTTTTATATAAATTATATAATTATTTTATTATATATAATTCTTATATAAATCAATATATTTTGTTGACTTTCTATTTGTTAGTTTTAAAATTTTTTTTCTTTTTATTTTTATTGTCGATCTTATTTTATATTCATTGTTTCTATTTTAAATTTATTTGTAACTGAAGTCTATAATTATTGCTATTGGTCACAATTTTTATCTACATTAATCTATAATTAATATTGTTTTTCCTAAAACAACTTCCTTTTTTCTTTCCAACTTTGCAACTACTTTCAGCGATTATTATTACGCGCTGTTATTACCGTTACTTCTTAGACCAAGTAATGCAACAAAGAGAAAGAGATAGTACACTTCGCATTTAATCTCGAAAAAGTATTCTTGTTAGGAACATAGTTTTCTTATTTACACCGTCATGATTTTTTCTTTTCAAAAATACAGCGACAATCAATGTGTCCAACGGAATGCATCGATTACGGATTCAGCTACGAAACAATGTTCGACTAAGCAAGATACGGGAGATCTTCGTATGCAGAATATAATCGATAAATGGAGCAACGAACACAATACGATGCAAACAAAGTTGATGAAGGAAAGTAAAAACAGCCAGAATAGCCTCAAATCGACAAAAAACCGACCCGAAGAAATCCCGGCGAGCCATCAATCGTCTCGCTCAAGTAATGCACTCAACATGGAGAAGAACTCAAAGCCAAGCCAGAAAAGTTCCGCGAGAGAGTCTGATATGTTTGAGAGCAGTAGTTTCTTCAATTCGGACAATGTTGATTATATACTGCAGTCGACAAAGAACGCGAATGATACATCAAACAAGATCGTAGATTCTTCTAACGATGACATTATAAACAAAGTGCTGCAGATCGATCGATCGCGGAGTAACACCGATGGACGGCCAGATTCTCCTGCACGGAACGACATCACGATCCAAAGAAAAAAGGACAACAGAGTATTGTTACAGGATAATTTCGACGAGATCATCGCCAACGTCGAACAGCCACAAAGCGAGGATTTCATACCTTGTTCTGAACAATCAGATCGTAATCCCAATCGCCCGTTGGCGAAAACGTCGAACTGTCTTACAATGACAGATGAATCGTGTGGCATTATGCAGGAAACTCCAACCATACCTCCGTCATCGACGAACGACATGTTCGAGCAATATTCTTCTAGAAACGTTAAGAAACTACCCGTAATGAATGCTATTTCAAAATTTCAAGAAACATTCAACGAATGGATTACAAAGCATCCTGATAAAGAGAATGTTGCTTGCAATCAGAAAAGACGTGGTTACGTGAGTGATCAAAGAGACAGAAAAGATTCAATGACAAACGCCAATGCGTTTGACAAGGACTCTCCTAAGACAGTCGCATCAAAGCATAATGTATCGCGAGAGAAAGAAAAGTTCCTTGAAGAACATAATGTTTCAATACAATCGGCGGGTCAACTTGACGTCAATAACGATGAAATATACAGAGCAACAGTTGCTGATAACGAATCAATTTCAAAAGATGATACTTTCAATGATTCGCTTATGAATATTACGCAGCATCAAGTTCGATTACAAATGTTTGAACAGGATCTGTTCGGTATTGCGTCCCAAAATCAAACAAAAGCGACAAAAATGAATTTGCAGAATGATCCGTCACAAAGGGAACAACGCACTCCAAAAAAGAGAAAGCAAAATATTCAGGATAAAAATACAGAATCAGAAGTAAGTGTTCGCGGTGTTAATATTTCTATATTTATCTATGTCTTATATTAACAAGGCTATATTTATATTCCTTTACTCTGCAATCTTGAGATTCCGAGAAATAATGTTTTTCTAACATATCTATCGATTCGCTACAAAGAAAACCTACGGTTATAACGAATTTCACTCATATCTGCAAGTGTAAAATTTATATTTAATATATTCGTATAATCTCTGCTAACATGTAGAGAACGCAAGAGAAACGTATCACAAGGTTTCCTTGGAGTTTAGGGAAATTTAAGGAAATTTCTATCTTATCAAAATAGTTACAATTGGCATAATTAAATTTTTTCACTCAAGTTTAAAATAAAAAATCTGTACTATGAAATATATAGCAATGTAGTCGTAGGCATTTTAAATTTTAAATTTAGTATACTTATGTACGTCGTAATGGATTTTTACAACCCTTTTTATGAGCGAGCACTTTACATCGATCTTGTGTAGCGTTTACTGTAGTTTACATAGAAATAGCAACGAATGCATTATGGAATAGCCTGTTCCGAGTGTGTGTATATATATATATGTATATTTCATGTGTGTGTACATATATATATATCTCATACTTCACAAGCTTGCACCATTTGTAATCTCATTTAATTCAGTTAGTATAATAATTTATAACGAAATTGATACGTGTGCGGTACATTTTGATCCTTTACACAAAAGCTTTTACTGTACAATATAACGAGTATCATAGCACTTTTAAACACAGGAATGCTTCGCTGACGAAGACGACATTGTGGAAAATACTCCTGAGAAAAAGATGAAGAAGTAAGTACACGTTTTAAGTTTTTCTCTCTTACAGTGTACTTTTCTCGTTACACGCCTTTGCTAGTTAGATAATTTGCATACACGTGACCATAAATACGACAGTATATGTACACCGTTGCATGAGTCACAAAGAAATGAGGCGAGACTGTTCCTCTGTTTTTTGCAGCTTCGAATAATATATCAAAAAAAGACATAGGCAAAAAAATTAAAAATAATAATAGAAATATATATACATATATATATTATATAAATATATAATATGTATAACATGTGAAGATTTTGTGAGATGTATAGTTTCAATTCGAAATTCTCTTTATGTACTCATTTTTATGTGTTTTACGCTAATTAATACCTGTTTCAAACAGTTCCGTCTGCATTAATTTATCCTATTGGTTTGTTCGAATTTATTTGATCAAAAATATAATTTATCTTCCTACAAATATTTTATTTAAAAACTTTTTCTGATATTTTTTATGACTTCGTCCGTTAATGTAATATCTGTTTCTATGAACATTTTTAATTTTTTAAAGTTCTTTAATCCCAATTGTTTAGAAATCGCTGTTTACGATCGCTTAGAAAATCGGAAAGATCAATGTTTCCTGAATATTTTCTTGTTAATTCGAGACACACGCGAGTTACATTGTTGTAATGTTGCAGCAACGGAAACTCCATAACGATCGAGTCAGGAGAAAGTGGAAAGCCATCGTTCTTAACCCCGCTTTTGAAGAAAGCCGAATGGACACCAAAATCGCGTCAAATAGTTCAACCTCTGAGGAGTGGCTCCAGTACATCTACGAATTTGTTCGAACCGTCTTCGCAAACGATATTTGAGATGGACAGGAACAATGAGCGTGTAAGAAACGATAATATTTTATTGGCGAAGCAGATGAACTCAAAGATGCTGGAGAACGTCCGTTGGAAACCTGACAAGCGAGACCTGCGCTTCGTATGCAGCGGATTATCGGCGCAAGAGATCATCACAGTGCAAGAATTCGCGGCGAAACACAACGCGAGTTGCGTGAAACAATTCGATCACGATGTGACACACGTTGTTGTGAAGACCACCGGTGAGCAGAACACGGCGCAGAGCACATTGAAGTATGTGCAGGGTATCGCCCACCGAAAGTGGTTAGTCAGCTATAGATGGATCGAGGATTGTAACATGCAGCAGAAGCTATTGGACGAGGTTCCTTACGAGGCAACCACGCAGACTAATGTTGTAACTAACAGCACCGGACCTCGTAATTCGAGATTACGCACCAAGGATCTCTTTGAGGGCTTTACGTTTCTGTGCATCGAACCGTACGACAATGTTTCACTGGACCAGTATGAGGTCAGTCCTTAGTCGCCTACATGTGCGCGATCGCTAACGAGACAACGTTGCATCTACGTTTCGCCTCCAAAAACGTCGGGACATTTATTTTCCTCGAAGACGCTATTAATTTCTGTTCGAAAACACAGAGTTTCTTCGCGACTTGTAATTAAAACAGATTCGTTGTACGTGTCACTGGACTGAAAGGATTTTTATTTACGCTTCTCCTACGCGTTCGGTCGCAGTTACGCTATTTCAAGTTGGATCCGGTCCAAACTTATGTAAGAATATCTTTGATTTTTAGGATTTGTTACGTGCAACCGGAGCCACAGTGGTTGATTCCTTCGAAGCTCTCGATAAGATGGGAGGCATGAAAGGCGTTGTAATCCAAGACAATATACACGACGACAAAACAATCGGTAAGTTATCACAAATAAATATACACATCGTATATACAATACTTATGGAAATATTTCAATTAAGATTTAATGCATGTATTGATTTATATAAATATTGATATTTATAAACATTCTTCACGAAAAAATATTAAAGTACATTTATATTTTGATTTTCTTGATAGAACATTGGTATCGAACTATTAAGGCAGCACCCATTCTCGTGGATTGGATAGTAGAATGTATCAGTCACTACAAATTATTTAACCTTACGTCCTACAACTCATATCTCTCGTCGCAAAATTTTTGTGCCATCGGCTATCCGCGAGAACTCGTAGAAGAAGATGAGGAGTACAGCGATAACGAATAGAAGAAAAAATATATATATTTGTTTTCTGTTAATAATTCGTTTCAGTGTTTTAATATTTTCAGTCAAAATAACTAAATAGTTACGATAGTATTCTCATATTTACTATATTACACGCGTACATATGTAAATTTAATTCTCATTATTATATCCGATATCTATATGATATTAACTGTTACATATGATTTCAGTATATTTATTTTTGTATACAGTATATGACTATAACATGTTACTAAGTATATTGTAAATTATTTATGCTTTTCTAATAAATTTGTTTTTTGTACGCTGAAGTTTCTCTCGTTATTTTCGTACAATTCTCGCACGTTCATTCGTGATTAATGTCTCGTTTATTGTACCGTCGCGAGTTCGCTGTCCGTTTTCCGAAAACCTCTCCGCCTGGATCTTACGTAGTATTCCAATTTAGCCTCGAGAGTTCTCCAAGACCGCGATAAATGCCGGTCGCAAAATGCCATCTCAAGATACCTGACGCGCTTCTCGCCAACGGGAGAAAGTAAAAAGAGAACATGAAATCCATGCGGACGCGATGACAAAGGACAAGTCTTTTCGCGATACGACAATGCTGTGCCGTCGCCCAGATCGTAAAGTTCGCTTGTCGTGAGGAAACGCCGAGGGTATTCATATATTCACTCAAACACACATACCCATATTGATTTGCCCGGGACCACCTGTAGCCAACTCTCATCCGTTCGCGCACCGCACAGCCGTTTATGAATCCCGCCCAATTGTACGTAGACGATAGGAAACGAGCGCTACGCATTCTGTACTCGCAACCGCGATATTAATATCGCAGCGATACATATACGAAGAGTGGGTCGGGGTTCATGAGAGTTCGCGGCTGTAAAAGCACACGTATTCCCTCTTAAACGTTCCGCACTGTTACTATGTAATCGATTGTATCCGCTCCAAATAATACCTCCGACGTGCGTCGCAAATTGATGAAAATATATTCGATGTTTACTGTCAATAGTCAAATGACGCTGGCTTGCGAATTATACAGGCGGAATCCACGTTTAACAATGCCAATGCTATTCGTGCATCGCGACAGCACGTTTTGTATGAACCGTGATGAATTTTGATTTCAAGCAAGTTACTCGGGATTTACTCGTTTCCTTTCGTTATATAGGAAGATTCGATTATGCCTCTTCCCTTATACTGCATAGCCACATAGCCACGGGACTGTTGAAGTTCACCATTGTGCGCGGTTTCTACTGTATCCATGTTTGCGAATGGTTCTCAATTGAACGAAGTATTGAAGGATTCCATTGTATTTTCACGCGACACAACTCTCCACGTGTACGTGCACGGCCATTTATGTCGTTCGCAGGTGGCAAAATAGTAGAACATTATCGCCTTCAAACGATCCTTCGTTAAATTAAAATTATGATGCAGACATTGATGAAAAAAATATAAGCTTTTCTTCTAGAACGCTAAAAGAAGAGAAAATACAAGCTTCTTTATAAATGTAGAAAATAATGTAGAAAAATATGAGCGCCTCTATCACACTTATGGCAGATACAAATCTTTTTGATCTTATAGAGAATGTTACTATTTCTGCGTTAAGACTTGATTTAACAGTTACCGTAATTTTCTATAATGCTTATATGTATAATGAAGAAAATATCACAAGGAACATACCAAATCAAGAGAAAATCAAAATGATTTTATTTTGACGTCATAAAAGTCAAAATGATGATTTTTTGTTACAAAATTTAACTGTTTATGACGTTAAGAATCAAAATAAAGTCATTTTGATTTTTTATTGACTTTTGTATGTTCCTTGGGTTTCTGTCGTGGACATTAGGGAAATAATAAATAAATCAGTTCGCTTGTCTATACTTATACTAGATGAGCGCCAACCTAGCAATCAAGCATGTGCTGATTACACTGGGTCATTAATCACGCTCGTGAGTCATAATACCGCTCATCAGATATGCTTACTTCACTGCACGTTACCGGATCTTCGTGTACAATGTATCTCCTGTAACAGTAATGTTCACGCGTGTGGTATGTCGTTGCGGTTTGTTACGTAAAGCGTAGACAATAGTTAACGGCAATAGCTGCGCGCTTTATGAGTCTCCGCTTAATCACTCTAAATCGCAACAAAGTTCCATGCTGTCCCTACAATTATCGGAGCATTCCATTCGGATGCTACATTAATTGCATTGCAAATTCATCTAAACGCATCTAATCCATCAATCCGTGTGAAACGCGCGTGCAATCATTAAATGTTCATTCTTGAGCATCAGGAGGATCTCATCCGAAAGGCATAGAGATTTTCGACAATTTTTTTTCTCAAAAAAAAATATGAATATACTTTCCAAATTTATTTATTGAAAATATAAAAATAGAGATTTTAATCTTTGATATCTATATATACGTAAAAATCTAAATGAAGATTTCCGCATAATTTTTTTTTCTTAAAAAAGAGTAAGAGAATATATTTCTCAAATTTACAAATGAAAATATTATGAAAATAGAAAATTTAATCTTTGATATACTTACGTAAATAATGCTTTTCTCTTATTACGAGAAGGAAATACGATTACGTAACTGTGTGTCTGGTTAAACCGAGTTAATGCACGTCCATATCGATGAATAATAGCGGGCCATCACCGTTCCATTGACCAGTTATGCGCTTCGAGACAATACGTTCACTCCTTAACATCGCCAAATTGTGTGGTAAAATTACAATTTACGAAAAGTACAGTAATAACTTGTTATTATTTTGATGAATTATTATATAGATCGCTGTTTCTCGAAGCAACTCATCTTCAAGTTAAGAGATCCAATCGTAAAATAGAGATTTCCTCTTCCCTCCTACTCGATGTTTTCCATTTCTCTTATGCCATAATAAGAAACACGTAAAAATATTTTTAGAAAGCAAAATATACACCGCTCGAATTTCACGAAACGATATAAACTATAGGATTTCAACAATAGGAATCGAAACGAGATTGCCAATGTTCAAATTTTTCCATTTTTATTCAACTAGAAATTGAATGTATCAATATTTTGATACATAGTACTACACTGAAGAGGGCTCAAATCAAGGTACCTACTTTTATTTTATTAATATACCTTTACACACAATTACTAATGTCGGCTCGTATGGGCTTTTTTCGAATTTATCAATATTTTGAGTTTTTATTCGATTCATTCGATTTGTTAAATCGAGTTTCAACTAATTGAAATTAATGTTTCTATTCTTTGTTGCAGTTTTATAAACTAAAGTTAATTGAATTCTTTCTAAATATTTCTGTAGAATTTTAGATATGCCTTTACGTTTTTTAATTATACAGTTTCTAGGAATAAGTACGTTGCAATTATAAGAACTTAAAATAGTTACTGTGTTATTAATGTATTCAAAAATTTAATTATAAACTATCTAATTATAGATCTATTTTTCTTTTTGTATATTTCATTTGCTTTGTTTTTTTTTTTCAAGTTTACCTACGCTTTTATAAAAGCATGTTTCAAAATAATAATTTTAATTAAATTTACAATATATAAACATTATGTTTTGAATTAATTTTAAGTATGCATTGGACTGCAAATTGGAATATAAAATGTAATATATATACATATATACATGAAGTTAATTGTTCTTTTGAACACCTCTCATTATATACGTTTAAATGAATGTCCAAATAACATACAGTTAAGAAATCAATAATTTGCATTTGGAAAACATCCAATAAATAACCTGATAAATAACTTAACGAAATCAAAACGAATATTCATATCATGATGAAAATGGATATATTGAAAAAATTTTTTTAATTGTACATTAATATCAATTAGTAAACTTATTAATTTTGCGAAAAAAGCTATCATTGTTCGACTGTTAACATTTTCAGGCAAATATTTTACTTATTTTCAATGTCTATAACGCTTGATAATGTCCATTTTATCGCTTCATGTATTATTGTTCGCGAAAACTTTCATGTGGATGAAAGGATAAACCAGCGAAAAAATGCCGCCGATAAGCGATAAATAACGAATAGCTCGGTCCACCGCTAAGGCTACCATCTCGCGCGAGCAATTTCACGGAACATCGCGTATGTCCTGCGGACAACAACGGATTGCCGTGAGAATACGATGCAGCGCGAGTCGATATCTTTTATGAGCAATTTCATGAAATACTGTTGCTCTTTATCTTCGACCATCGTGCGGCTATGCAATCGACAGAACAGAAGGTCAGAGCAACGCGACGGCCATCCATTCGTTCGTCTTTTCTTCATCACGTTTTCTTTAATTGGTAATAATGCAAAAATCAAACGTCATTGCCACATAGGTAATAAAAACAAAAGCTCAAAAATCAACGGTTAGATTGCGAAGAATTTCTGAAGGATCCTGAAGGCAGATTCCGTATTCGTTCGTTTTAGTTTCCTCGTCACGCTTATCTCGGCAGGAAATTACACATCCCGAGCAATTAACGTTTCGCGAATATTACAAAAAGAGAGTTTAGCAACACGAAGTAATGATATCTTAATGTAGAGATTTGGAAAAACCATGGTTTCATTTGGGAAAAAGGACACACAATCCACTTAAATTGCCATGCGCAAAAATTGTACAACTAATTGTAAGCTTAATAAAAGTAGATACTTCTGTTTTTTTAATTAATGTTGGCTTTTAGGTTGATATTTTGAAAATATTTTAATCCTTTCATTTTTATTAATGACTAAAAACTTTATAGTGCGAATAATATAAATTAAAACATATTCTTAAATATATGTCTAAAATTAAATACCGATCTTTAAATATCGTCCAACTTTGAAATATATTTTTCTGATTTGATTAAAGTTATCATATCTTATTTTCTGATAAAATAAGATATATTATAGTTAAATATAATATAACTGTCCCTTTAACTGACATTAATGAATACACAAGAGCATAACTTGAGAACAACGATTCTGAAGAGAAAGACCTTCCACAAGGACTTTTTACCACAAGTAGTGTAACTTCTACAAAGTGAAACGGAAGAAACGGAACTTAGAAATATCGTATTTCAAAACTGGCATCACTATTTCTAAAAACTAAAAAGAGAAAGAAAGAGAATCCACAAAGATCTAAGATCTACTAACAATAA